AGAGAGAGAGAGAGAGAGAGAGAGAGAGAGAGAGATCAAAGTCACTTTTAACACACCACAATCCTTTACATTATAAGTATAAGCATGACCTGCGAACTTTATCAACTCGCCTATCAAGATCTAGATCTAGATCTAAAATCTAGATCTAGAATCTAGATTTAGATCTACATCTAGATCTAGATCTAAATATCTAGAATCTATTATTATTTACATCTTCCGTGTGTGATGGTGCAAAGTTTGCAAAACTTTTCAGGAGCGAGTAAAGTGAGTGCAGGAAGAAAAGACAAACTCGGATCGAGGTTTCAGCTGATTGGATCAATATTACATATTCCTCCAATGCAGCTGAATGAAAAGCTCCTCAAAACAAAAACAAATTTTGTGAAACTATTAGAACTACTTACCGGTTGGAAGACCATTCGTAAACAAGAACTTTAAACCACACACCCTGACACGAAAGTACACACTTCGGCCACTGAGCTTCTGCCTGCTGTCGGCGCAACAAGTGTTTTTTCGGGTCACGGCAGTGTCACACACTGTCCCACATTTCAGGACAAGAAGGGACACGGCCACTTGCCGAAAGTTAACGCAAACAAGTCAACGCCCACTTCGGCGCTGGACCAGTTCAAATTTCAAGGGACGTAACCAGCTTTTTTTTTCTTCTGTTATGCTATCAGTAACAGAGTTTTGTTTCTTCGGAGGTGTCATTGAAAGATCAACAGAAAAAAGCCAGGAGTCAGGGCAAGGTGGTGTTAAGTTAACCTAGACACGCCAAAACCTCGTGTTTGCTTCTGGGCCTAGATCTAGACCTCTCTAGACTTGGATTTGTATTAAAATAAATTAATTTTCTTTCGTCCCTTGAGCCCTTTGCAAATCCAATCACTTCTGAATTAACCAAAGGGAGCAAAATCTGCAGTCAGTTTTGCTCATGCCATAGTTTTAATAATACTAAATGTTATCAAAATTCCCGTATACTTGACAACATTATGAGATTTAAACATAATTTGTTCTATTTTTGGAATCAAAACTTCTCAGTATCAAATACATGGTATATTCCCATTTTCAAAACATATAGGCTTACTCGTTTGTTATCGATAGCCTATATATTTAATTTGTTAGTCACAATTTCTTCAACCGTAAGTTAAATAGCACTAAAAGACACTTTTATTACTAAAATGTATTATTTTTGGAAAGCTATGACTATTTAAAATTTAAGTGAGATCTCGTTTCCTGGATCCAAGCAGTTTAAGTGAATAGTCTACAACTAGAATTGGATGTAATGCTGACAGTCATATAGAAAAATGTAATAATTTGGCCAGCATTTTTGAATTCATATCAGTTAACCAAATACTGCAGGATTATTTGGAATCTTCCAACTGTGGTGATTGCACATGGTGTGGAGTAATAATAGTTCAGTCAATGTTAGGTCACGTTGTTCATTTCTCCTTGGAGAAGGATTATTTTAACTCAAGTCAGCACGTTTTGATTCACTATATCTGTCAATATGACAATTATAACTGTTCTACCAGAGAAGGCCCGGGGTGTATTTTGTGTCCAGGATGCCTCTTAAAAACGGTAAATTTTGGAAATGATCAAACTCACAAAACTGAAAACATACCTCTCCAGTGCAAATTGGAATAAACATGTACATGTATAGGTACATCGCCATGACTCTATATTTTGACAAGCGTAATTTCTTTTACTTTTGAGTAAGATATCTAAGGGAAAAAAACAACACCAAAATATTAGCAATAATGATAGTATAATATTCTAAATATATGCACTTGCGTATGTGTTTGTGTGTGTGTGTGTG